TGTTGTGTTTTTTTTCATGTTGTGTGATTCATTTCCCTTTTTACCTTTATGGTATTATGACATGTCTGCAGTTAATGATAAATTGCATTAATTCTCTGAAATCCTTCAGCAAAACTGTAGGTGCTACACGAACCTTGACACTTTGAATTTTAAGCAATGACTTTCTTTCCATGGAGGTCAATGCTGGTCATGTTAACCAACCAGTACTTCTTCTGTTTATTCCAAACAAGGTGCTGTTGTTGCGGGCAGAAAATACAAAGCAAATCTTTTCCTCTGTGGCTGCCTTTCCCTTATAAAAGAAACACCGGAACTGTGAGAACTGTGAACTCTTGACTCTTTACTTTGTTGTATATGACATATAAAAATGTTATATTAATTCCATACATTTTATTAAAATATATGTCACTGAAAATATCCAATGTTCCTCTATTTTTTTTTCCCAATTAGCATTTAGCATCTATTTTCCAGTATAATTATATTTTTCAACGACAGTCACTGAATTCAAGGTTATATGAACACTATATGCAGTAGGCACTAAAATGTATTGTGGTTTATTAGATTCATGATTTGTAACAGAGTATTAAATCGAAGAACTGACACATTTTTTTGGCCCTTAATACAACTTCTCTCTATTTTCTCCATCCCTACAGCTTGCCTCACTCCATGAATCTCTTTCCACCAAAGCAGGAGACACTTTCATCACTAGCTGCTTCTCACTGGTCAGCCAGGCCTGCTTGCTGGGCAGGACAGACTGCGGCCCAGGCCATCCAGATGGAGGTGAGATTATCCTCCATTAGATGACATAACAGTTTGGTGGCCCTTTCCCCCCCCTAGAGACCAACAGAACAGTCAGCTTTCTGTTAAAATATAGGTGATGATATATTTTACGGTTCGTTGCATTCTACTAGAAAGAGCAGCAGATACAGGAGACATGGTAGTGAAAGAGTAGCAGTTTTAGAATAGTGATATGAATATCACAATCTGTCCATGTTTCCATTTCTAAGTGTCTTCAATAGGTTTTATAAGTGTTTAATGGTACATAATTGGGGACTACTAGTGGTCCAACTATGGTAAAATACAATGTATATGTCACTTACTTTAGGCATGTCCATCAAATGGCATCTAACACTATGTTATGTAAGATAAGCAGAATACACAATAAGGAAGCAAGAAAAGAACCAACAAATGCATGTAAACAAGCACCCAATAAAACGGTCTGAGCCCTGATCTGGGTGGGTTTGGCTGAAGCTCCTCATACAGGCTCATCTGGTCCACAGTGAGCCATAAATTTCCTGATGACTAACTGAAAAAAAAAGAAAAGAGGCAGGGATGCAGTCATTGCTCCAGGGGAATTATCAAGCGACCAAGAATACAGTCCTAAGTACAGTGACTCAACACTGTCACCTGGAGGCGCGTGAGTGTAAGTGTTTCAGGAAGTGACGAAATCAGGAAAACACAGCTTCTCTTTTGTGTTCGGGCTCTTTTGGTCGTTTCAACAGGTATCTGACAATGAAAGCCGATGTTTAGAGGTTTATGTATCTAGCTTCAAGCCTCTATTATTGCCTTCACTTTTGCAACTTTGAATCTATGTTATGAATGAAACTGCAGAATCCTTGATTACTTCCCTGATACAAGTGGAAAGATATGTGCTATCAGTTCCACTAAGTCCAGCTAAAGAGAACATAACATATTAAGGTTTAATAGCAACATTGCAGAAAGACTGTGGAGAAGAAGTCATGCAGTTACGAATGCTGCTGGAAAATAACATATCCAGCAACTTCTAAAACAACGCTGGCCCTATGACATAATAAAATACTAAATATATATATATGTGTTTAGGCAAAGTTAGTCTATCAAATGTCCATGTCCAGTATATTTTATTATGTCATAAATTTGACAAAGCAGGGCATGCCAGTTAGAAAGGATCTAAAAATCCAAATATCCTCACACAGCTAGTTATTGTTAAGTGTCACTAAATGATCTGGCTATGGCTATGTTTAGGAGAGGATATTTCTTAGTGGAAGAAGATACTCATTAATGAACTACCTGGTTGATTCTAAAAACTGGATGTCTGAAAATTGTCTGCAGCCAACGTTGGGTATCACTGATTTCCTTAGTATTGCAGAGCCGTTCATGTTTGGTACGTCATCTCAATCACTTCAAAAATAATATTAAATCTGTCTAAAAAAAAAAAAATCAAGGAGTAGGTTTCAAAAACCATGACACGAAGGTAATCAAATTGTGTGTTTACCAGTTTAGGAACAATGCAAAGCTACGGCCCATACTGAATCTAAGAGACATGGAGACTGTCATACATGCCTTTATCTTTACTTTCAATTCGATTTCAAAATTTCATTGACTGGCTTTTGGTTTGCTGAGTCTCCATCTTTTTTTTTCTTTTTTTTTAATGTCTTTGTAAAATCACATTTTTGTAGCACCCATCCATCCATACACCGCTTAATGCTCACTAGGGGCTGGAGCCTATCCCAGCTGACTTAGGGTGAAGGCAGGGTACACCCTGGACAGGTCACCAGTCTATCACAGGGCTACACTTAGAGACAGACAACCAAGCACACTCACATTCACACCTATGGACAATTTAGAATCACCAATTAACCTCAACATGTTTTTGGAGGAAGCCGGAGAACCCGGAGAGAACCCATGCAGCACGGGGAGAACATGCAAACTCCACGCAGAAAGATCCCGGATGTCCTCACCAGGACGCGACCGGCGACCTTCTTGCTTTGAGGCAACGGTGCTAACCACCGATCCACCTTGCAGCCCCGATTTTGTAACAGTTTAACACATTTTGCTATTTTTGACATGTCAGTTTCTGTTCATTTTTACCTGATTGTCTGTCTTTTTTTTTTTTTTTTTTAAATCATTATTATCTAAAATGTTGAGGTTTTCCAGTTATGTTTGATTGTTAAAACACAACTTCAATGATGTGAAATTGAAAATGGGATACATATTACATCCATTTACAAATAAATAAATTATAAACACATTTATTTTAAACAGTGACTAACACCAGCGTTCATGATGCGGCCTGTTGTTACTTTAAATGCCTCTCTAAACCAGGGGTGTCGAACTGCGGTCCTCGAGGGCCGCAGTCCTGCATGTTTTAGATGTTTCCTTCTTCCAACACACCTGATTCAAATGATCAGGATCGTTATCAGACTTCTGCAGAGCTTGATGATGAGCTGATCATGTGAATCAGGTGTGCTGGAAGAGGGAAACATCTAAAACATGCAGGATTGCGGCCCTCGAAGACCGCAGTTCGACACCCCTGTTCTAAACTAAATCAGTTGATGTGAAGAGTAGTTGCTGAAAAAAGAGAAAAGAATGTGTGTGAAAAGAATTTTAAATAAAATACTCAACAGTTTAGAAAAACTTATATGCAAATAAGAAATGAGATGTTTTCTTGATTCCCTAAACACCACTACAGGAATGCACAAAGTAGCTTAAATGTAAACGTTGGAAACAAAGGTTACAAACCCCAGAGTGAGAACAGAAAATCCCGTTTTTGGTTCATACATCTATGGCTGGATTAAGCTGATGTGCTCCAGCTGCAGTGAGTGCAAAAAGGGGGTATAGAAAATAGAATCAGAAATACTTTATTGATCCCCAAGGAGAAATTGCTGAAGTTGTTCCCATTCAAGTCAGAAATAAAATAGAGACAGACACCAAAGATCTGCATATGGAGTAGCATTAGAGCTAAGACATTTTAAGGCAGGAAATGACATTTTGATGGGGAAAAAAACAAAAAACTCCATATGTATGTAATTATATATGTAACGTTGATACACAGAGATTAGTTCTGAGGGGTTTAATTAACGATTGGAGAGTAGCTTTAAGTTATTGTAGAAAGGAAATGCATAGAATTGAACAAATACTAACTCTAAGCCCAAGAGGGAAAATGAGAGAATGTGACGAGCCTTTGAGTGAATCCAGATGCAAGACACTGAAACCTGACAAGCTCTGCAAAGTGCCTGAAACCAAATACTGTATATACACCCAGGATGCTTCAAGTGTCTTGATATGTGCAAATGTGGGATTGTCAAAATAGTGCTCACCTCCATCATAACCAGGACGCTTCTGTAATCCCCAGAGCTAAGAAGATACACATCTGCAGACAACCCAGCATCCGAGACACTACCACTAGAATCAAAATGACATCAAAATGCGGGTTGATTTTTAAACTGGCATACAAAATGGGTTATAGATACACAAAACGCTTATATACACTTAGATATAGGAAAGAGCAGTGTGTGGGCGCTCCTGTTTGGCTTGCTTGAACTGCAAAGCATCTCCTTTATTATGAGTTTGTTGGAAAGGAAAAAGCCCTCCATTTTTATTTTTGAATTATTCATTCCTCCTAAGTGTGTTATCAGCCATTTAAAGAGCCGCCTTGTGTGTATTTTGTGTATGTAAGAAATCCCAGAAGGGAGAAGAAAAACACAAGACATTTGCGTTCCATTAAACCTAGTATTTTAAATTTTAAGATTATGGAGATACACGCTTTTACATTTTAGATGTTTTAAAGTCTATGCGGTTCCATTGTAGGTTTTGTTTAAATCTCCTCTCCACACCACTGGAGCCAACTGATGCAGGCTGACGTCGCTCTCACTTGACCGAGGTTTGGCACTGGAAGTGAACGTCCACAGAGAAATCATCCACATACGCTGTTCGCACAATTACTAACCGTGCTTTAAACTTTAAAGGAACCTAAGAAGCACTAAAAAATAACAATAGTGCGGATCAAAGCATGGAGATTACTTCCTTTGATCTACCAAGCAGATGTTACGAAATCTGTGCCGGTTGTTGAAAGCTGTCATTATGTATCACGCACTCGGTTCTTTCGCTGCTCCCCGGCCTTTCTTCTGCCACACTACAAACGGATCCACGGCCCAAATAAAAAATCGCTGTTTGTCTTTTTATAGAGGCTTCTTACAATTATCACCTTGACCATATAATGTGCCATTTAATCACAAGGCAGATGACCTTCAAAAACAACTTTAATGTGCATGAGAAGACATGAACAACAGATGACACATCAAAGCATACAAAGTGAGCCGTCTCTAAAATAAAGATTTAAGAAATGTAAGGGATTTGAACAAATCTAAACAGACACGTCTGTACCTAGACACACGCAGGATCTCTCAGATTGTTAATTCTCAATATCTCACCGGATTTTGTTTGGTTTTGACAATGAGAACGATGCTTCTGTGCAAACTGTAGTTGTGTCTTCCTGAAAGGCATCAAAAACGCAAATGAATCTCAAATGAATATAATAAAATACATAAAGATTTAGAAGAGCAGCTGTATTCTGTAAAGGTGACTACACAGACAATTGGGTTAATTGCTCCTCAGTCCTGGAGAAAAGAAGGAGACCACCCCTGTTTTTCTCTGCCCTTCTGGGAGGAGAAGTAGAATGAGTTGCTGTAGTCTTGTGCAGAATGAGAGTGGGTGTTTCCCTTAGTCCTGCTGTAGTAGAATCTACAGGTGATACCAGAAGAGGCTCACAACAGCTTTCGCAAAAATCATGACAGGTTTCACTGACTGCAGGGTTGACAATCTTGAAAAATTGAGAATCATTTCCCACCTGTGTCCAAATTAAATAGTCTCCTCTGTTTTTTTTTTTGGTTCTCTTCCCTCCCTTTATGTCCTTAAAATTGTTGGACTAAACTAAACCCTTTCAGGCTCAGCAAAGACCACAGGAGAGTTATTTTTCACCATCAAGCAATTTTGACAGCCCTCGCCTAAAGGATGCATGAAGGGAGCGAGGTGAAGAGAGGTGACATGACAAGCCTTGTTAATAAAAAACCCTTGGTGCCATCTTAAACAGGAGCTCCCATCTTTCTGTAGTAACAGTGTAATTAGCCGAGCATTACACAAATTACACGGCACTAATTAGACTGAAATTACAGAAACGGAGGAGCAGTTACTTTAAACTGTTGTTCAACTTATTTATTTTTTTCAGAAGACAGAGATGAGTGCAAAGACCCCATATAGCAGAGCGCAGGGGTAAGCAACTAACAGCTGCTGCCCATCCATGGCCAACGCCGAGATGAAGATCTTTGAGGCAGAGAAACTGCACCAGCCAATGATTGCTGCTGTTAGTATAACTCCCATCATTCCCCTAAAGAGGACAAGAAGCAAGAAGGAAGTTAGTCTTAAACAGCTATCTGTTTATACGGCAATAAATGATTCAAGAAATGTACATTTATGTATGTGAAACTCCTATACAGTGTTTTACATAAGTTACATAGTGCTACACATACGAATGAAACAACCAAATGATTAGCTTGAGGTTGCACTACACTAATATAATGCTTTAGTACTAGATGGTGTCGAGTCCTGTGGTCTATGGATAAATACAAGTCATTCCTTGCGTCATAAGATATATTAAAAACACAACATTATTTTCCTTTGTACTCACTGTAAAGAAAAGAGGACTCCAAAGCTGGACAGAAGGATCATGGGGAGGAGGCAGTACCCCAGCACGCTGGCCACACAGCCGAAGGACACACCTGTCATACTCATAAGGTTGAGCAGGCAGTACACGCCGAGGCAGCCGATTGCACTGATGCCGTACACGTAACCAAACTGGATTTTACCCGACTGTGGATGGAAAGAAAGTGTTTGAACAGTTACACAACTGCTTCAGCACATTCAGTCTGAAATAAAAGAATGGATACTGCATTAAAGTGTCAAGTTTTAATTTGAGTAGGCTTACTTTAACATAGAAATAACTGTCCGTGTCATTGAACACATAGTGTGCAGTGGATGAAAAGTAAGTGGACACTTAACATTAGTTCATTTACAAATAAGCTTCCACATGGCTCAGAGTAGATTCAGAGTCTCCATTTATACTGAAGTGGAGTTGTCTATCAAAATGATGAGTACAGAGGTGACCACGCAAGATATTAATGAGGCTAAAAAAGCAAAAATTTATCAAAGAGATATCAAAACACTGACATTAATGATTGCACTGAGATGAGGTGGACTGGGAGTGAAGGCCATTCAATCACCTGATTTAATTTGAAGATACAAAGTGCCTGGTGATATCTACAGGTCAAAGATGTCAGGCAGTCATTAACTGCAAAGGATTTGGCATAAAATATTAAATACGATTCCTTTTATGTGTACCTTTCCATGTCCTTTTAAGCGTCTAAGCTTTGGGCGCTGGGGCATTTCCCACACAGCTCTTTCTATATACGTATGTTTTTGCTAATTTAAGTTTTTGTTATTTTACAGAATGAACCAAATGGTTTACCAAGAGAAGTGTTGCTCCAAAGGCCAAACAGAAAACCATAGGGCCAGCCAGGTCTGTCTCATTCATGATGCTTCCGTCTGCTGCTTTCATCGGATGGAGCACTGTCAGAGTCTTCTGCCAGATGTGGTCAAAATTAATTCCTAATTCTAAGAGAAGACAGACAAAGAAAATGCATACACATATACTGAATACTTGAACTGCATATTCCCATACAAAGTTGTAAAGAAAAAGCATAATAACAAGAGGAAAAACAATGCAAATGCATTTCCTAGAAAAAAACAATTCTCCTTTGCATACGCAAGTCACTCAGAGCTTTGTGAGTGAAGACAAAAAGAACAAGCCTCCCTATGGTATAAGTGTGACTTCTCCTCAAAATAGCCTTGAGGTGAGTCTTCACCTTTACCAGTCATGCTCATTTCAGTCTAAGGAGTGTGAATTGGGTTGATCAATATTTCCATGGTGTCAGAGCGTTCACTTCGGCTCAGCTGTCATTCTGTCACAAATCAAATGTCAAGCATCTCCTTCATCTGCTCCGTTTTTTGAAGCTTCAGAATCAAATCACTGGTTTATTTTGAGGCAAAAACAGATCAGCATGTTTTGTTTTTGTTATTAAGCATGCATAACATGGCTACAGGAGGACATGGTAAGGAACATTTAATTTATGAACAAATTAGGGACAAAAACATAGTTTAGATTCATTTCTAATACAACAAAAGACAAACATTGAGAGTGTCAAATACCACTTCAGGTGCAGTGACGCGATTGAGCATTTTTTACAGACATACAGTAGTTATGGCTTAGTTCTTTTAAGTCAGTATACACAACAACACTGAAGAAAGTTCTGAACGTATATTTCCATGTACACTATAATCGTTCTGAAACGGCAAAACGCAATAAATACAAATCTTTTCTTCATGTATGAGATGAAAAATATAATACAAAACTGTGGAAAAGTCAGGTCAGCTAATTATGCAGTCACTTTGGCAGGTACCCAGCCTTTGATTCATAATTCCTTTTTATTTCATTGAAACTCTCCTGGAGCTATAAGATTCTCTGACCCTGCAATTAGCTGCGGTAGGTGACTGAAACTTTAATTGTACACAATTTAAACAGTTCCTAGGATGATGTCCAAGAGGTAGCATGCACTGAAGAACACAAAGCTTTAACATTTTAGGAATTCAACTGCTGCCCTTGTAACAGTGGGTTTAAATTACCCCAAAGGCTGGTAAATAGTACAGCAATTGATTGCTTTCATTAACCGGTTTAGTTCAACAAAGGCATTCAATTACAGTATTATCAAACAGAAAATAGGTCACAGCTTTCAAGGTGTGGTTAACCTACCTTCTAACAGAGGCGGTTCATCATCAAAGCTGCTACTGTACATGGATTGTGATTGGGATGGAGTGTACGTCTGTGCGGGCTGGAAGATTTGTCCTGTATATGGCTGCTGGGGCGGCATCATTCCCGGGGAAGAGTAGCCCATGGGCTGGGAGTAATCGTATTGTCCGTATGGCCTGGGTAACACATGATTCACAGTGATCAACAAGACATGAAATGTGTCCCTTCTGAGATTGCCAAAAAATGGTTAACATGTGCATTTTACTACATGAACACAGCACAGAACAAAACAAAGCACTGCAAACATTCCCCCCCAAATCCAATTTTTAACCTCTAATCACTAACAACAGTTAAAAACATTGTATAGATGTCACACAAAATGAACACAGGCAATAAAAAGCTAGGTATGTCAGCTTTCAGAACCAGAAAGGAGAACAGTGTCACTCCTTGATGTTTCAACAGCTGAGAAAGAGCCATGTAAGAATTGCTTTCTTTACTTACTTATTGTAGGGGTTTTCGGTGTTGCTGTAGCCATAGCCGGCCTGGTTTTGGTCATCTACACTGTAACTAGACTGGTAAAAGTCTGTGTTGAAGTTGTCAAACCCCGACATCTCTCACTCTGAGGGAGACAAACAGAAACACAATTGACCAGCTAGGAAGATTATATTTTTACAATGAGTGTATACATTAGGCTCTCTCCACAGACACAATACACATACACTGGTCATGATTAACTATCTTGTTTATATCATCAGCCTTTGTTTGTTGTCAATATACAATGCAAGAAATGCGAATGCAACAATCAATACTTAAATCATCAGACAAACAATGATTATCAGGCATTACCGCAGATAGCATTGATCACTTTGTCATTTAACCAATGGATCGCATTTCCAAACATATTTGGTTAAATAGGTGGGCTTTGTGTGTGGCTTCCACTGATGTAAAAGTAAGCCTGAGACCACAACAAAGTTTTCAACTGTGTCTAACATTTCGATCAATCATCACTGAGCGAAACTGAGTGTTGCATTACGAATTGTCCATAAAAACAACCCCATAACACAATTTGCAAACTTACGGGCAGTGGCCAAATAATTAGCTTTAATAACACTTAACAGGTAACCACCTAACTAAGTCGCCTCTAAAACCATTTGAATTTCCAGGTACATAATTATTAAGTGAGTGCCGAAGAGAGCGGCTCTATTTATAGCAGTGATTAGCGAGGTTAGAGATAACGTTAGCTATCTTCGTATCATTTTTATGCAGCTATGCTAATGTAGCTAACGTAGTCCGTCTTGAAAACAAAACCAAAGTAAATAAACAATGCACGTTATAAGGTTTTATAACTAAACACTGCGCCGAACACTAAACGTCTTAACAATCACCACCACCTACAAACACAAATAATGTTGTCAAAATGCAGTAGCAGCTTCTACTCAGAGGGAGGCTAACGTACCGTTAACTCTGCAGCTAGTTGCTTAGCTAATGCTAGCTTTAACAGTTATCGAGCTTACACACTTTGCGCATCATGTCAGCGGTGCCTTTAGTATTCCATTAAACTTTCCCCACATAATCCTGACTCTTAAGCCACGTAAGTGTCGCAAAGCAAACTCTTACCTGTGATATTTGACAAATCAACCCAGAGCCCTGCCAACTTGGTTGTGGTTGCTACGTGTCAGGAGAAAGGTAGCGCTTCCGGGGTAAAACACAGCCGACGGGAAGCCGTTAGGGACACAAATGAAATACCGCTTCCAGAAAATGCGGCGCAGTCTGCAGACAAACTGTGGTACTACACATTGGTCTTTAACTGCATGGACCCAGAAGAGTGCTACTGTATGAATTTATAAAATAGCAAATTCATTTATGTGTGTCATAGTACAGTTTAGAGTTTTTATAAGCCCAATTGATGATGAAATTTACAGACCGATGCTAAAAGAAGTCCTCCTGCAGCCCGAGTGCCTGATTTTGATTTTTTCTTTTTTCTCTTTTAAGGAGAATCGGGAGACAGGAACTGGAAACAGAAATGTTTCAGTTCTAAAGGTCAACACTTTAAGAGATGGGACTCTTAAGTGTTATGGATTACCATCATGAACAAGGAACATCATCATTAACCTACAGGCTACATTTTACAAGATCATGGATGCAGTGCAAATATCGCTGGAACAGGCCATTAAGTGATTTTCCACAGTGATGCATACAAATTGGAATTTAAGCATCAATAAACCACCAAAAGGTCACTCTTGTGTACAGAAAAAAATAAGGAGTCAGACTTTATATTGTAAAATATTCAATGCCTTGTATAACTACGACGAACATACAAATATATTGAAGTCACAAAGAATGAGATCCATCTCTTTCTGAATTTAATGAAGTGCTGCCGGCATTGCCTACCACAGGTATAGGGCTGTTTGAGAAAACCAAGGTCTTACGGTAACAAACAGAGGCATAGGATAGAAGATAATTTAACAGGCCAAACACTGGGCTCCTGGCAAGAACAAAGGTAGTCTCTTTCATCGAGAAGCAAAGGAGCAGATCAATCACTCTGTCTGTGCAGAAGAACTGCACCGCTACCAAATACTGCAGGCAGATCCATCCTCTTTGATGCTGACAGATAATGCAAATGAATGGGCTGATGACCTCTACTGAGAGGGGGATAGGGACAGTAGGAAATCGGAACCCATCACGGATGTGGCTTTGACCTGCAAGATATGGTAAGCGGAAAAGACAAATCATTGTTGAGCTTAAATCGTTACTGTTCAAAAGTCAAGAGGATACGCAAGAATCAATAAAGAAGAAAGCACCAACAGGAGCACAAAAAAAAACCCCAATATGAATTCAGATGACAAGTCATATTAACCAGTGTCCTTCCTTAACATCTGTAACAAACATCTTGATTTTTTACCTGGGGCTGCATAAAACTGGATTATTTCTGTCTCTGTGCGAAAACAAAAACACTCCTGGCAATCATAACAGTAAAATATGTGAATTTTAGCCATAAATTATCTGGTGCAGTGTGAAAAAAGATCTCAATTACATCGACTTTGCTGTATTTCTAGCCTGGAGTTACAGAATTTTTTACAGAATGAGAAATGGAATAAATAAGACATGAAGAAGAAAAACTTTCTCAATATTCACAGGAGAAATGTCGAGTCTCCTCCGTCTTTGACAGCGAAATTGTGACTGAGTTCCATGTCTCGGGGCAAAAATACACAGAGCAACCACTTTGGTCAGTGCTGCACAAAAGTGTCGGATCAGCAAGGTTAGGAGTTAGGAGGAAATTTACTTGCTAGGTAACATCTGTCACATTTTGCTGCCAGCTGAGCGCAGTGCAAGCAACTAGATCCCAGTCTTTACTGTATATTAAATCACTTGTTCCAACATAGCTCCAAGGCATAACAAGCACCATTTTAAGGCGAGGAAAGGCGACTTATAGCACTTACAAAATGGGTGGATGAGGGAAAAATAAAGAAAAAAAATCAAGCTCCCACCTCACCCTCTACCTAAATAACAAATCTGAAACAACAACAGAAGAATGTGTTTAATAAACCTCAAAGCTGTGCAGACCTGACATGAATCATTGTCAGTCTCATGATGAACAAAATCAATTTGATGCATGAAACACGGATTCTTACGGCCAACACCCATGACTAATCATCAGCAGAAATGAGTGTCGTCCCCTCTGTTGCCTCTCTTCTTTCTTTAGACTTTTAATTTTTTTATTTTAAACTTGAATAACATGTCTTTCTTTTTTAATCCACTTAATTAAAGAAAATTGAAAAGTGCCAGAGAGGGTAATTGAATTTAGGGCAGTGTATTGCCATATGCTGTCATAATTGCCTTCTTTTAAATGGTCTCTGCTGTAATCCTGCTGTCACTGCCTGGGTGGATGAGTGGATTAAAACTGCTGAATTTCCTCTACTGCAGCAAACCCTCATCTCCAACCACCTACTGTACCCCCAATTAAGATTTCTCTCCCCGCCTCCCCATCATCAAGGAGACGCTATCTTTTTCTTCTTGCACGAAACGCATGCAGATAGCAGATAATTTTTTTCCTTATTACTACATGTGGAGCATATGAGTGAACACAAAACACACGCTGAGCTCTATTTTTAGCAGAAACTGATGGACGCATAGCTTAAGAACATTTGCAAGATTAACTTCCTTTAATTCATGTAATTCAATTTCCTGCCACCCCATCGACATGACTGCTCCGCAGAACATAAATTAGTAGGCATCTGGTACTCGCAGGCTCCTTTCTTCTGAGCAGCTTTCTTCACTCTGTGAGTGAGCTACATGAGCACTAAAATAACAATCCACAGCTGAAGACTTTGTGAAGTTTGTTTGTTCCAAAATGAGATTTCCACCCACTTGAGATTTAAGAACTCCTGACAAAACGATAGTCAACATGAAAATACCTCTTTTTCTGGAATATAGAGATGATACTGGCGCTGGCGAAACATTTAAACAGGACAAAAATAGAACACTGGAGTGCAGTTGCTCTCACATAAAAGCAATTTTGGATTGAAATAGTTTTTCTTTAAAATGAGGATTTGTTTCCAGTAATCAAATTATTTAGAGGAAATCGTTCAGCAAAAATAACATGCATAATATAAATAATAAAACTACTTTCTAGTGAGAGGTTATTGTTTTGTCTTCCTGTATTCTATCCTAAATTTACACATGCACAATTCAAGCCTTTGTTTCTGAAATAGCAGGCAAGCCCTAATATAAAACTGATGCTTTTTGATTCAGGGTGCTGTGGACTTATGCCATCCTTTTCCGACCTGCCTCTGGTTGGCATCGGGGACGGCACCAGTCGACCCACGAGTGTTCTACCTGTCACAACAGATTTAGAGGCTTCTAAAATAAGTCTCATATTATAAACAGTTGCATGGCCTTGGCTCGCCTCCTTTTTCCATCCTACCCTCTCAGCCACCCTTCCAAGTTTTACTTTCTCGTTCCTTTCACTTTTTTTCTTCCAGGGTTTGACCAGAGTGATTCCATTCACTGTGAGATATGTCACGGTAGACATAAATTAGTTTTAGCCCAGTGAGCAGATGCTGCAGTATTTTGTTGTTGCAGATCAAATGAGTGAAGGTCATTTTTATTTCCCACACGGCAGCCTTTTTTTGGTGGGGATGTTGTTTATTTCCAGAGCGCAGAATCAACACCTTACTATTAAAATCCCATATCATTCAGCTTCTTAAGTTGTTGATGCAAGGATCTAATATCGATCTTGTGCAGCGAGGTTGATGCCGCGATCAATTTGTTTGAGAACTGCTACTCTCTTGTGCCAATGCGTAATGTCTTTAAATTTGTTCAAAAGACTTCTTTCAGTACATCTATAGAACTGCATCGTTATTCAGGAAAGTTATTATTATATTTTCCTGCATGCTCAGTCATAAATTTGTATTCAATCAATACCACTATCAAGGCTTGTGAAAGGCCAAAGTAATCAGTCAAGTGTAACCATTTGAAATGCTTCTCTCTTCTTCTTTTCCCATTTAACTGAAAGAAATTGTTTGACAGGAGTAAAAGTAGGTCCAAGACTGAGAAAGATTTCAGTGGGATTTCTACTTTACATTATGTGATGATTACTCTGACATATTCCTCCCACAGATACTCTCATATGACTTTATATAATCAGTTTATGATGTTTAACACATTTCAAAAGTTTCAAACCTTTTTTCTCCCCCCCACAAACCTGTCTCCTCCGCATCATCCGTTTGAGAACAGGTATAATATTGTTGCCTTCAGCTGTATTTTCCTCTCTTAGCTCAGTGTCAGTTGAGAAAAAGTGACAGCCGCGCGTCTCGTTCACTCCATGCACGGTGTCTCACATCGATGCATTATTAAAGCTGCTGTCAATGAAGGAATAAATATCTGTCCCTTAATGAGAGATTTCTCCCCGTGTGACTGTTGAGCATCAGCACTAAAAGACGGCAGCCCTTGATCTCATTCTGAGGGACTGACACAAGCCTGAACTGTACTATTTTTATTTCAGATGATAAACACCAACTGCACTAGTAATGTCTCAATGAGATTCCCCACCATTTACCGGAACCGCATAAAAGAAGGATATAAACCCATAATTATGAGCCAAACGTAGAGTGGTCTGTGTTTGTGGCTGTCGGAAAAGTTGACAAAAAAATGGATGAAGCTGTTACTGTGACTCTTGACACACACAGGGATTGAAACGTATTTAAACCACAACCGAAGCTGCAAACATACCAAAGGTTTGCGATTGCTGTCGACTCTTTTGCACGGGCCGACTCCCAACTGGATGTTCTGTTTCCTGATGAAATTAATGATGACAGGAATGAACAGAGACCCACCACATGTTCAATTATACACCCGCTCCTCACTAACTGTCACCTTCACTCTCTCACACTCCCACAAATTATTCATTTTGTCTCCATATGCAGAGAGCTTTGTAAAGTTCTCGATTGCTTATTTCATTCATCTTACTTTATACTGAATTGTACCAAAGTCTGACAGTCTTGCAGCACACAGAAAGCCACATGCACTCTGCAAATACACATGATAGATGAGGAGCAAAATTAATATATTCTGCAATTCCTGTAAGTCTGCACCGCATTCAAAGTAATACTCATATACTGAGCATCCTCTGAAGCATTTACAGTAAATTGCTGATGGTATTAGCTGAAGAGTAAAATTGGATACTGTACCTTTAAAGGGGGT